ACCAATAATCTTAATACATCCATCGTCATGCAGCTCCCCGATATCTCCGGATTTGAACCAGCGTCTCCCCTCGGCGTCGATGAATTCCTCCTTCGTCTTCTGCGGGTTCTTGTAGTACCCCTCGGCGACGCAGTCACCGCCGATTATGATCTCGCCCTAGAAATGAACGCCCAAATGAATAGGCTGGTTGGAGCGGGTGGGGGTGGGGGTGGAGGGGGCACGTGCCTGCGGGTGCGGCTTGTTGGTGACGCGGTAGTTGCCCTCGTCCCAGTCCCGCAGCGCCAGCAGGGCGCCGGCGGCCGGGGCGCCCACGCGGCCCGTGGAGCGGTCGTGCGGGTCCATGACGGTGCCGCACGACGTGGTCTCCGTGAGCCCGTAGCCCGCCACCACGGAGCAGCACAGGCAGATCTTCACCTGGAACACGACAGTTGGTTTGGCGCTGCAGTACGCCCGCTGTCTGGCGGGATCCACCCAGGGATCCGCTATTACATAATCATAAATTGAACTGACCAAGTTTTTTTCCCTACCTATTCGCTGGCTCCAGCTACGCCCGGACGGGTAGGTGAGCTCACCGGCTCAACCTGAGAGAATTTGCTAAAACTAGCCTTAACAAGAGCAGTGCTTCGCAGAATCTATGGCCGGATCGGATACGCGACCCATGGAGAAGATCCGGCGAGAAACTCTGTAGGCTGTGTCTGTGGGTTCGCTCGTTGAGAGTTCGGGGAGGGGATAGTGACCTGTGCTTGAGGGACCTAAAGCACCGAGAGAGGATCCGGGGGATTCGACAAGACATGTGCCGCGTCGTCTGAGTCGGATAGTTAATTAGCAGCGGCCACGATAAGAAGATTATCATGTCGCGTTGCTTTGTCGAAGTAGCGTTCTAACGCTACCTTAAAATAACTACGTATCGGTTTTACATTTCGTAGTGAAGGTCAACATTCCTCACATACCACGGCGCTCCGACGGCTATTCTGCAGAAATGGGATTGGATGACGAACACTACACTTGCATAGGTCATGACAGAACGTATACAAGTTTTGTAGAGTGTCACCTTGTTACGAAGGAACAATTTACTTCGCTTGCAGATCATGGGGTAGAGTCCACCGAGTAGAAAGGCGGGTCGGTCGCCTACTGATTTAATGTGGGGACGGAAATTCATCCCCCTGTCGAGGGAGATGTTTAGGTGCTAGGCTTTCGAAGCCCACGGTATGGGCTGCGGAATGGCGCTACGGCGCGTGAGGCGTGACGCACAACTTCGTGGGTGGTGTTCTTACGTGTAGCTTCTGTTTGCGCACGTTTAAGAACAAGATAGGCTACCATAGCCATATTGGAGCGCATGAGAGGCGTTGACCTTAGCTTAGTTATTGAACTGAAAATTTTGGTCGCCGTTGCCGAAACCGGTTTGGAACCATGATGATGATGATGATGACTGACCTGCAGGTGCGTGTCAGGCGACAGCGGCGCGCCGCCCGAGATCATGAGGCGCACGCGGCCGCCCAGCAGCCCGCCCACCTTGCGGAATATCTAACGACAAACGGCATCTCAACTCAACCCGACCAGCTAATGTTGACGTTAAGCCTCGGATACACTAGGGGACAAATTGTGCAGCGTGCCCTGAGCATGTCGCTCGGCAACAACATGAAATAGCCTCGGGGACACACTAGCCAGCCCTTATACGCAAACCACGCACTGGACTTAACATGGTCTCGTCCACTACCCGTAGTTTTCGACGATGTTATCTGCTTTGCTCCGGGATAAATTGGGAACAAAGTGTATGCATTTTATTATCTATTTCTTTTTTTGGTATATTTAGGGCCTTTGCTATATTCTACGCGTCATTTTTCTTTAATTTATTTCAGTAGTCACGATTTGAAGTATCCCACAACGTTTTTTTTTATACCTAAGCTGATAGCCTTGAGAGGCTATTTCAGCGTAACCTAACTAGTAGGTGAGCTCACGGGGCTCAAACCGGAGTGATGCTAACACTGGTCCTAAAGAGCAGTGCTTCGCAGAATCTACCACCAGATCGGAAACGCGACCCACTGAGAAGATCCGGCGAGAAACTCAGGGGGCTGTGTCTATGGGCTCCCACAGCAATCCATAACTCTGGTAGATTTCGATCAAATGTAGTACCGTTTCGTTTTCCCACAATATCGACATAGAGAGAGACACGTTGCGCACGAATCCACACTCAGCGAAGTGATGCGCAACACGCGCCCCCACTCTCAGGTCGGGAGCTGGCAACATGTCCCGCGTCACGTGAATGCTCCTCAAAATGTTGCGCGTCATGTTGTGGGACAATTTGTATCCGAGGCTTTATCCAGTAATTGTTTTGTTGTGAAATAAACATTTATTTTTAAGCAAACACAAATAACGTATTCTCATTCAACTGGTTAGCTGTTTCAATATGTTTATAGTAATCGGCACGAGTCTTGAGCTCCCCGCAAAAGAGTGGGGGGCCGTCTGCGAATCGTACACATAGGGTCTAAATAAATGATTCACTCATGTAATTAATATATTTTTTATAATTCTTATTATACACTTGTATTATATTCAGAGATAACTGTATTTTTAACCGACTTCCAAAAGGTTATCAATTCATTATGTTTTATGGTATACTAGCGACCCGCCCTCGCTTCGCTTCGGAAGCTGTAATTTATTATTGATTTCTCCACTATTTAATGGATGTTATTATACATATAAACCTTCCTCTTCAATCACTCTATCTATTAAAAAAACCACATCAAAATCCGTTGCGTAGTTTTAAAGATTTAAGCATACATAGGGATATAGGGACAGAGAAAGCGACTTTGTTTTATACTATGTAGTGAACAATATATATATTCAATGATAATGCAATAAATATATAGAGAGTTTAATTTAATTGACTATAAGGGCAATAAAAATAAATAAATAAAAGTAATTATGTGCTTGTGTTGTTTTAATCATACTAAAACATATTATATGAAATAAAAATGTATTCTGTTAAACATTTCATTCTATCATAAATTATAGATCACATCATATGATCTTCGATATACGATCTTCATCACTGTCGGTCATCATCACCAACATGAATTACAATTTCTTCAATCCACGTGTCCATCACATGATCACTTTTCTTATATTGCTCTTTCATTTTATTCACTTTTTTGTAAAGTTTATTCTAATCAGTGGCAGCCATCAAATTGACTTTTTATTTGATTAGGTCGGTCACAGCTTTAAAGCCCCAATTAAAGTTTTTGCTGCAAATATGAAAGTACAGATAGTTTACTTTTAAAAATTGCAAATCATTTACATAATTTATGTTATTTTTTATTTTATCAGTATTATTGGCTACTTTACTATCTAATACTGTATATATTTTCATTTTAAGAATATAGTTTAAAATATCATAATAATACTAAGTTGATAAATACTTACCAAAAACAATATAAATTAAATGAGGTTGGATAAAAAATGTGTGGCTAATAAAATTGGACGAAAGTGTAGTTTGCTGCAGTGATGCGCGTGCACCACGCACGGAACCAATCACAACTGCCGGCATGTGACGCGACGCGGGAAGACCCAATCACGTAATCAACATGGCCGGTGCCACCTCCCCCCTTGTTTCGTTCCCCGAACAGACCCAAACTTTTGCGTATGTGAAGGTCAGAGCTCAAGACTCGTGCCGACTAATATATAATTATGTAAATAATAATGAGTGTAACAAAACGGTTATCGAACACTTACCAGGTAGTCGAGCACGGGCGTGTCGTAGCCGCGCCGCATCCAGGTCTGCTTGTAGCTGTAGCTCCACTTGAACACGGCGGCGGCCAGCTCCCCGCTGCGACTCACCTTGTCCGTGATGCCCTTGCTGATGCGGTCCATTATCAACTGCAAACGTTCCGGCACATTACACGCGGCCCGCGCGACTACAGCGCCGACAGTGGCAACAGTGGCAAGCGTACCGGCACGGTGGTGATGCAGGTCGGCCTCAGCGTGGTGGCGTCGCCCTTCGTCCCCTTCATGATCTTGCTGGACGAGTCCAGCATCGTCAGCGGAGTGGAGTAGCCGATGGGCACGCCTGCACACGAGACAGGAGTTGTAACTCGTTGTAACGCGAGAGTCACGGAGGGCGGTGGCGGGACGGTACGAACCTCCGATGATGCAGAGGTTCTCGGCGAGCAGCTCGAACACGTGCGCCAGCGGCAGGAAGCCCATGAGCACGTCGCCCTCGTAGATGGGGATGGCGTCGGCGAAGGCCTTGAGCGTGGCCAGCATGTTGCGGTGCGACAGCAGCACGCCCTTGGGCACGCCCGTGGAGCCCGACGTGTACATGATGATGGCCGTGTCCGCCGCGCCGGGCCGCACGCTCTCTGCGCCCGGGAACACATGCTCTCAACTGCTGGTATTATTTTTTTGCTACCTAGGCTGATAGCCTTGAGAGGCTATATCAGCGTAACCTTAACTACTAGGTGAGCTCACGGGGCTCAAACCGAAGTGTTGCCTACACTGACCCTAGCAAGAGCAGTGCTTCGCAAAATCGACCACCGGATCGGAAACGCGACCCACTGCGAAGATCTGGCGAGAAACTCAGTGGGCGGTGTCTATGGGTTACGTCGCTCGTCGAGCCCTTCGTCGCAAGCGACGGGTTCAACGAGGACGGTGACCGGTGCTTGTGGTACCTAAAAGTACCGTTAATGGATCAGGAGGATCCGTAATGACGTGCTTTGGGCGACGTCGACGTTTTACCATTCGGTCTACAGGATCAGGTTTGTAGTTTCCAGCGGCCACGAAAAGAGGGTTCTCATATCGTGCCGCTTTATCAAAGTGGGAATTGGTGGTAGGACCTCTTGTGAGTCCGCACGAGTAGGTACCACCATGCTGCCTATTTCTGCCGTGAAGCAGTAATGCGTTTCGGTTTGAAAGCTGGGACAGCCCTTGTAACTAAACTGAGACCTTAGAACTTATATCTCAAGGTGGGTGGCGCATTTACGTTGTAGATCTCTATGGGCTCTAGTAACTACTTAACACCAGGTGGGCTGTGAGCTCGTCCGCCCGTTTAAGCAAAAAAAAAAAAACAGCGGCGTGGCGTGGGACCGACATGCTCACGCGGAGGGCGAGGATACTCACCGATCTTAGACTCCCTGCCGAGTTCCACGACATTCTTGTAGCTCACGATCTTGATTCCCTCCTTGAAGCCCTGCGTGTCGGTCGGCTTGAGCTGGTCCTCCATGTAGATGATGGTCTCCACTTTGGGCGTCTTCGTGAGAATCTTCTTGAACTTGGGCAGGAGATCGTGCGTGGTGATGACCGTGGACACTTCGGTCTCGTTGATGCCGTGAGCGATAGCTTCGTCTCCCAGTGTGGCATAGATTGTGACAACTGTAAGTGAATGAATTAAATTAGATTTCAGTGCAATGTTTGTTCTTACAACTGACAATACTTTATAAAAAGATATTTTAAATGAAAATGTGATCTTAACTTGTCCCTAATGCTGCTGATACATTGACCCTCCGCTGTAGTGGTCTTTTTATTTTACAATCTCACTTTCCTTGATTCATAAATGAAATAAAGCCGCTGGACGTAGCTTCTCGGGATCCTCCAAAAAGTCAACTGAAAAAGTCTCAGTAAATGACCACCATTTTACTGAGATTATATTTCATCCCATATCATCTCATCACATTTGATTTCATTTCATTGCATTTCGTTTTCATTTTATTTCATTTCGATTTCATTTCATGCCATGTTTTACATTAACTTAATTTAATTTCATATTTTTTTTTTAAAGTTTTCATTAATATTAAAATAGGACTTGACTTAAAGGTCTTAGTTACCAGGTCATAAAATCCCCTAAAAAAAAAGGGTACAGACCGGGGATGCTCTGCGTGAAGCAGCCGTGCGCGGCGAGCATCCACTCGGCGCGCGTCTCTGCGAACATGACGACGTTGCGCCGCGGCTCGCAGCCCAGCGCGCGCAGCCCCGCGCCGAACTCACGCGCCTCACGCTCTACGTCCGCGTACGTCCGCCATATGTACTCGCCCATTTTGAACTGTTCCGAAACAAAAATTAAAACAAATCAAATTACATTGATTCTACACATTTTGAGGGAATCTTTTTTTTATTGCTTTGACGGGTGGACGAGCTCACAGCTCACCTGGTTTTATATAGATATAAGTTCTAAAGTCTCAAATATAGTTACAACGGCTGCCCCACCCTTCAGACCGAAACGCATTACTGCTTCACGGCAGAAATAGGCAGGGCGGTGGTACCTACCCGCGCGGACTCACAAGAGGTCCTACCACTAGTAATTACACAAATTATAATTTATGCGGGTTTTGATTTTTATTACACGATGTATTCTTTCACCGTGGAAGTCAATCGTGAACATTTGTTATGTACGTATTTATTTATAAAAATTGATACCCGCCTGCGGGATTCGAACACATACGAATGCATCGGACGTTTTATACTTTGGGCCACGATGACTTCAAAATCTAACTAATTGAATACTTTTCAATTTAGTTGTGGCTAGTTTTCTAACACGACTTGGATAATGAATATAAGCCGTGTACCTTCTTAAAGACTCGTCCGTTTGGTTGCGGTTCGTCCTCCTCGCTGAGCACGGCGCGCGTACCCAGACAGGGCCGCTGCCCCCAGCGCTGGGTGGCGGCGCGGAGCATGCCCTCCATGGTGGTGACGCCATCGCGGACCAGACGCAGGTGCAGGTCGCAGGGTGGCGTTAGCGGACTAATCGTTATGCTGTTCTCGGTACTGCTTATTATACGAGCCTGTAATGTTTGATATCAGGTCGAAAATATATATTTATAAGTATCTATATATTAATACGTGCAGTAAAATCTTTGTATCCCTTTTTACGAAAATTGCACGGACGGAGGAGTATGAAATTTTCCACACTTATAGAGAATATAGAGAAGAAGTGCACAATGCTAATATTTTTTTAAAATAATGCATAAAAGATACATTAAATCAATAAAGAATATTACACACACTACCATGTATTTGACACACAGACATATACTCTTTGTTTATTGTCAAACTTTTGTTATTGCTTAAAGTCTGTAGTCAAATTGAGAATAGGTTAGTATTGTTTATCTTTAATATTACGAGTATTTGTCTGTGTAGTCTTGGCGAAATCTGTAACAATAGGACCATAATAATGTTGAAACTTATAATTTCAATTAATTATAGTCGAATTTCGACTACTGCGGGGGACCACTAGTATATAAAATTGGGGCAAATTTCGACTCAAGTCTTTTAAATTTAATAAAACACTTAACGCGAAGAGCCCGGCAGCGGCGAACTCAACTTTCGTAGAAATATTTAAGGCAATCTCCAACTAGTACTAAAATTTAGGGAAGCTGTGGAAGTCTTGAGCCAGACATAATAACGATCAAACTTGCTAAACATAGTAGTTCGATATTACAGAGAACCGTGCTGCTGTTGAAAGAACAATAAAATTCTATGCGTTAATTATTTTACCTTTATTCTTCTTGACAATGCACGTTTCCTCCAAGGTCTCTGGACGAGGAGGTGGATCGGGAACGTGATGACGTCGAAGACAAACGCGACGGTCCGTATGGTCCTTAGCACCGCCGACACCCACCACGAGTCGGGCCTGAGAAAAAAAAACATTAACGGTTCATAATATCTTATACCTTTAAACGAGCAATTCTTGTATATTAATATACATATTTATATATAATCTGAATCTCGGAAACGGCTCCAACGATTTTCATAAAATTTAGTATACAGGGGATTTCCGGGGCGATAAATCGATCTAGCTACGATTTATTTTCAGAAAATGTTGTTTTATTCGTGTTTTCAATAATCAACTCTTCCCGACATCTATTGGCGAATAATAATACTATTTTTCCTAATTGAGGGTAACTAACCGCTTTAAAGACGACAAGTCATCGTCTAGTATCATTAAAGAGATCAACAAGCGCTTCCGAGTACGTAACCTTCACTTATGCCACTAACAACTACAGTAAATTCCTAACAAGTTATTATGATGTTATGGTTTAAGCATTTTATTGACAATTGCTCGGACATTCCGCGACCAAGGAAAAATCTATATATTAATACGTCAAGCATAAACTTTGTACCCCTTTTTACGAAAATTGCGCCGACGGAGGATTATGAAATTTCTCAAACTTATAGAGTATATAGAGAAGGAATGCAGAATCTTAATTTTATTTTTTAATTATGCTTAAAAAATGTATTAAATCAATTAAAAAAAACATTACACACGCTACCATGCATTTGACACAACACGCATCCATACTATTTATTTATTGTCAAACTTTTCTTATTGCTTATAGTCTGTGGATAAATTGAGAATAGATTAAATATGTAATGTTTGTCTTTATTAATATTTATCTAAAGTGGAGTCTTGGCGAAATTCGCAATTATAGAATTATAATAAATAGTCTTTGACAATACAATCATAATAGTGTACAAACTTATAATTTCAATTAATTATAGTCGAATTTCGACTACCAGGGGACCATTAGTTAGGGTAAATAGCTGAAATGACACATAAATTTCGTTTACAATATAAGAAATTATAACTGTGTTCGAGCGTAAGTTCAATTAGACATGAAATAGATAATAAGAAAGTACAAGGAACCTTGCAAGCCGTACTAATCTAAAGTAAACTAAACTACCTACTTTACTGGTGGTAGGACCTCTTGTGAGTCCGCACGGGTAGATACCACCACCCTGCCTTTATCTGCCGTGAAGCAGTAATAAGTTTCGATTTGAAGGGTAGGGCAGTCGTTGTAACTATACTGAGACCTTAGACCTCATCTCAAGGTGGGTGGCGGCATTTACGTTGTAGATGTCTACGGGCTCCGATAACCACTTAACACCAGGTGGGCCGTGAGCTCGTCCACTCATTCAAACAATAAAAAAAAAAACTAAAAACTAAAGTAAACTAAAGCAGCCACAAAACGAGACTTTGATTTTAAAAAATATACAAATAATATGTACTGGCTTTACTATTATTACATCATACATAAAGTATGGAACAATTAATATGATACCAAACATTTATTGTACCTATTGTTAGGAAAATTATGATGCTTACGTTGAGAATGCTTCTTTGAACCCACAATTTATATTGTTTCAACAGCTGTATTGAGAATTACATAGTAAATACGTAAAATTTAATTTCACATTTTTATTTGAAACAAACAAAACATTCTCATGTTTTTTCTTTTATCTGACATCGCCGCGAGGCAAAAATGTTTTAATTAAATTCCCCTTATTTATAATATTAATGAACACATTCACTTCACGATAATAATTTAATAATGGCTAAACGGAAAACAGGATAAAACTTACTAGTCAATATCAGATTGTTAAAAGTATTTCCTGAGCTATTTTTTTTTATTGCTAGATGAGTGGACGAGCTCACAGCTCACCTGGTGTTAAGTGGTTACTGTAGCCCATAGACATTTACGACGTAAATTCGCCACCCACCTTGAGATATAAGTTCTAAGGTCTCAAGTGTAGTTACAACGACTGCCGCACCCTTCAAACCGAAACGCATTACTGTTTAACGGCAGAAATAGGCAGGGTGGTGGTTCCTACCCGCGCGGACTCACAAGAGGTCCTACCACCAGTAAAAACATTACTAGATAGTATGATAAATTAATTAATAAAAATTTTTCCCAGCCATGGCGTCAACTCAAGGAAACATTCTACATCCAAAATAAATAGCGATCACTTTATAGCCAAACACAAGTTGCGTACCTTATAGAAATATGTGATATTTTTGCCTATAATACACACAAAGGAACTCACGTCATACTAGTACTAATTATTAGGTACGGAGTAATGTTGGAATAATCAATCCGGAGCTATTTAAGGGTTGAGATACTGGTGATAAGACTCGCACAATTTTTCTATCTGAATTCACTAAAAGCTTTCAGATTTTTATATTAAAGAAAAATAATGATAGATAAGCTAGGGTTCAACATTATTAGTGTCTGGTTGTAGTGTTGACCGCGGGTACCCCCCTACTTTGACCGGGTTCTGAACCCGGACGAAGATCGGACGTCGGGTGTAAGAGTGCAGGGGAGTCTTTTAGTGCGATAGGGCCCTAAAATTCTCTCCCAACACCTGCAGATCGTCAAGTCCCACATACTCCTGGAGCCCAAACGGCCCCCGGCCCGAAAAATATAAAATAAATAAAAAAGGTTCCGATATTATTGGTGATATGGCGTAGTGCGAGCGTGAACAGGCAATTACCAACATTTTTCTTATGTCCGTAACAAAGCAGTTATGAGTTTCTGGTTTAAGGGCGGAAGATCCCTTATCCAATACAGTGCAAACTGACCTCATGCCTCATGCTGGGTGGTATGGTAACGTAAAAACGTTCAATCAAGCCACAATAACATAAATGGATGAGAAAATACATGACATGAATCAATATAATTGATCCACCCTTAGTTTTTAATATCTGGTACGTACGTAGGTATGTATAGACGAATGTTTCGATTCATCCGTTTATTTGACTAGTTGCATTCATAAAAAAATCGATTTAAAATAATACCAGCTAAAACCGCTACAACACGTTTCCCGTTGTCCTTTACATTGTATTTGTCGGGTTTAAAACTCAACTGTCAAAATGTTTGTATCTCATCTACGTGCCACTAGCCCCATTTAAAAGTAGTTTCTCGCGGTTGCCAGCACACAATATACCACTATCCGTCATATTATTATCGAAGCGAGATAAAAATTATATCGTTATCATTGTAGGGTCTATCTATACAGTTATCATTCCAAAGGTCAGTGTGGAGAGCGGATGCAGCATTGCGTGTCCCTGACCCGACCCATGGACTCGCGCATGCTAGTCGCACGACCAAGATAGATCAGTGCAGTAATTGTTAACACAGCTGCAAACCGTATTGCGGTATTTGTCTATGCACTGATATAAATCGCTGTTGGGCAAACGATAAACAACAGCAAATAATATACGAGCAAACTCGCCCTTATACAAATAGACTTATCATTTTTCTGTTATCTATTTTTAATTAGCCTTACGTTCTTAAAAAAACTAGATCCAAAACAGTTTCCTTGTTGCTTTAAGCATAGTGGAAAACGATCGAGTGTACAAAGGCATTCATAATGGATTAAAGAAATTAATACGAACTTTAGAAGTGACTATAAGTGTGCAAAACCTAACTAATCAATGGTTCATCTAAATCTATTATTTAAAGCCGTAATGCATTTAAGCCGTAACTCAGAACATTTTTTTTCTTTAATAAGCAAAGAAGAAAAGAATTCTTAAATGAGGACAATTGTTTTTAACATTATTATTTCTACAACAATGCAGTAAACTTCATCATTAGTCGGTATTAAAGATCAGTGGAGCGGACATTCGAACCTTGAACATTGTACCTTGTCCCGGCACAAATACCGGTCAGATCACAAACGGTTGTGTGGTTTATGAAACGAACTTTATTATCACGACTTAGTGATAAGAATTATAACGATAGTTGAATACCTCTATATGACCAACACAACAAGTTAATATAAGCAGTAAGTTCAACTGGTATTCGGGGGTGCAATGACCTTGTGGTCGCCCACGGGTTGGAAATTTCTTTCGACCTAACTCTGCCAAAGTTTCTAGAAAATTAGACGGTAGTTAGGACAATACCGATAGGCGCAAGGGATAGAATTGTATCCCTATTTTTACTTAAATTTATTTTACTTAAATATGATTTAAAATGTTAATCCTTCCGTGTGCCCATATTCAAATATCGAGAAATAACACCTACGTCGCTACGCGAAATTAAACCATAAGAGTGGTTTTAATTATGTCTAAGAGTTGCCAACAGAAAAAAACACAACTTAAACTATTTTTGTAACTTAGACCCAAGAAAGACAACCGTTTTAACAACAGAATAAGACCAATCATTTTAATTAACAAATAAACTTTCTGTTATAACTTAAACCGGTTCTATTAAAACAGCTGCACTTAGCAGGTGCTTTATCGTGCAAAAAAAGACGTGACATTTAAGAATAAAATGGCATCGTTACGAACAAGACGGTTCATTACACCGACAACGTGTCTGTTTGGTGACGAATGAGGGTAAACAAATATACGGTTCCTTTATGGTTTTTGTCTTACGATGATAAAAGTTTAATGTGTCGATTGCAATCCCGGCATTACTGTAATACCGTGGACCATAAGCCGACCATAACAACGTTAAATTCGTATCAACAGTAAAGCGTTGTACAAGATAATCAGGAGTGGACAACGGAAACTATAAATGATGTCGGACAACGAGTCGGTGCTGGATATCTCGATAGCGGCTATCTGTTCAAGTGTAATTTCGGTGGGTTGCTTCGTGTTGCGTACTTTGTAATGCACTCGACAATGTTCACACCAATCAATCAGCGTTCACCAAAGGCAGTCTTTAAATAAAACCATAACCTAGTTAACATTAACTTCATTTCACAGCCTTTTAAAACCGCGATCCAATAAATAGACACCACTATAAAGTGTTGCATGGACTTAACGTATGTATGAAAAAGAACTATCCTCCTACCCCATATTCCTGTGTTATGGTTACTGAAAACACAAAAAGTAAGAAAATTTTTACA